GTAAACTTGAATACCTTATTCACAGAATATCATTAAAGTTTCAGGAATGCTTATGAGTTGTGTGCTGAGAGATATCCTAACCGACAACATTCTGCACATCAGTATTTTCCGTGTGTTTGTTTCAGGTAAGAAAGGAATCGAGGAGCGACACGAAGGCGACATAAATGATGAAGAAAAGAGAATTGGAACTTTCTATGTTTTTTACAACTTTTATTTGTAATTAACGTTACTGCAGTTTCATCCTATAAACATTTTCAAACTCATACATTGAACTAACAATAATTTATCACATCTACACTATACGACAGCTGAACAAATTCATGACATTCATGAATAATCTCTCAATAGCAACATTCAGTTCACACTCGAAACAGAAATGGAAGAAACTAATTTATGTGTAGGCCCTGTGGATACAGCAGATAAAACAATCACCAGAGAAATAATTAATTGTGAAGCTGGTCCTAGTTCATCTTCACATATCTTCAGAAAATAAAAGCCTTGCTTGAGACAAAGCCGTTCAAGTTAACACAATGAAGTCAACGAAAATAAAATATATAAGCAAAGGTGTCACTGTTGGTCCTAAGACAAAAAAAGTAGCATTATCACCATTTCTAGTACCAGTTAAAAACACATCAACTTCACCTATTTAAACCGCCCAAATTGCCGGTATGAAAAGGAAGTTATTCCTAGATTCAAAACCAACAGACGATTTATCTATTACATCGCAATCTTCATCAATCTCTAGTGAGTATGAAGAAGAAACTACTTCTTCCGAAGCGAGTTGGTCTCAAGATAACAAGGACAGACAATTTCAAAATGTAATGCGTAGTGCAATATTTACCGCTGTGGAAAAAGAGCCGAAAATGATGTTAGGACTCCCTAAAGACAGTTACCATTTGATAAAACTATCAAGTGATAATATCACAGTTTCCACTAATGACATTTCAAGAAAATAAAGTTAAATGAATCATTTGACATATTAGCTATACAATTTGGCTATACACAGAGCACTATAAGTAGAATATTTTCGAAAACAGTAATTGTTCTAGCAGAAAAAATGAGGGAGTTAATTGTGTGGCCTAAACCATCTGACATAGTTGAAAATTTACCTATTGCTTTCAGAGCACGGTATTCTAAAGTTGTTTCAATTGTAGATTGCTTAGAAATAAAAATTGAAAAACCGTCCAAAGCAATCCACCAGTCTCTGTCATGGTCACAATATAAGAAATGTAATACTCTAAAATACATTATTTCTAGTACTCCAGATGGGTTAGTCAATTTTATTCCAGAAGGATATGGTGGAAGGGCTTCTGACATCATTATAGTAGAAAATTGTGGCTATCTAGAATGTTTACTTCCAAACACAGCCTTTGCCTCTGTCTGCCTTGGCAGACTTGCTCCTTCAAAGACTTGTCTCATTTGATAGAAAAAAAAATGTACCCTTATTCGGCCTCCTTCAGTGTTCAAGTCTACAGCAACTACAAAACATGAGGTGAAGCAGTCCAAAAGAATAGCAGCATTAAGAATTCGTGTAGAGCGTGTAATAAACAGGTTGAGAGAATTTCATATGTTGTTGCCTCATGCAACAACATATGAACAACATATGTTGCCTCATGTGTACATCACAGCTTAGTTCCGATAGTAGATGAAGTATTAGTAATAGCATGTGGCATAATCAATATGCATAACGTTTTAATAAAAAATAAATAAAATTTTCAAGTGTTTTATTTTTATTCATATTGGTGTTGCACACTCAGAAGGTACCTTATTTTCAATGTACAAACTCCAAATAGAATAAATATAGGTTACAAGTAATTTGGCTAACTGACAAATAAAATTTCAACTTGCTCCTCATACTATAATTTATTTGATATTTTTCCACATATAATAGGAAAAATAGCATCACTCCAGAAGAGCATGCTTTTTTTCAAAATATTTGCACAATAGTTCTCATCATAATTTACAATATAAATGTCTACTTCCTTTGATATTTCAAAATCATAATGTGCAACACAGAAAAGCCCTTTTTTTATTTGAAAAATACATCTGCATTTGGACATGAGCCATATATTTTGAGGATATAACATATTTTGAAACATATCTACTCATGGCTTTCTCAGATGATGGACATTTGATTTCAATACTGTAATCAATACTCTCACCATCAGGAGATGCACCAATTACGGGAAAATTAGGGTTTGAGATCAAACCACACCCATTAATTTTTAGTTTCATTTTTTTCGACTTCTTTCAATACTTTTTCTGTAGCAAACGCCCTCTTTTCATCGCCTCTGTGTCCTTTAATTTATTTGCTCCCATTATACTTTCACATAAAGTTCCTTCGAAAACTTTGCAGTGTGCTGCTTCATGCATCTTCGAAGCAGTAATCCTAGCATACCGTAGCTCAAGCCACAGCGGACAGTCATTCTGATCAATTGTAGCTAGATTAGCTTCATTGCAAGATGATGTGTCCATCATACTCCTACAATAGTTGATGAACTCTGTGGCGTTAGCCGGTTCATTTGGTAGTGTATTTACTGAATGATGAATGGATAATTTTTCTACTCTGTTTTTTCCTTGTAGTATTTCATGAGTTGACTTTCCATGTGACCGATGCTTTTGCTATGGTTTATTAGAGTTGGCAGAAGGCTTCGAGTATTGGCAGATGAAGCAGGTTTGGCTTTTGAACTACTACCTAACTCTTTAGCTCTTCTCAAGTACCTTGCAGCTTTGACGCCTCTAATCTCAGCTGAAGTGAAATCGGGATGATTTGCGAAAAAACTTGTCATCATGAAGACATCTATTCTCGGCAAATTGTCAGATTGTGCCATGACAAATCCGGCTTCAGTCATTGTTTTTATTTTCTGGGACGTTCACAGTAATGATAAAATGATAATAGCCAAATAACTGCTTGCAAAACTCTAATTAGACGGACAAACAATAATAGAATAGTACAGAACACCATGTAAATAAATGTTGTTGACATGGACTTTGAGGTCATCCTAAGATCCTACCAATCCCGTTGCGTTTTACCTAATTTGAATCTGTCTCATATTTTTACGTTTTCAATTATGAACTATTTAAAATTTATGAAGTATATAGTCATGTGAACCCATTTACATTGATCTGGTATCAAAATAGATTAAGAAAAAAATTAAAATGAGCTATTTTATATTACATGCATATGACCTATTCGTTTGATTTTTGGAAATGGACCTTTTCTACTGCTAGTGATGGTTTCACCCGGTTGCAGAAATTTATAGTGAATCATATCAGCCGCTGACCGTCATACAGTAACCATGATCTTTTTGATGTGGAAGTATCTTAGCCGCACATATAATCGATTGCTGGCGTAGCGACGCATGTCGTGGCGATGAGTCGCCATGCGCAAGCGACTGTGCGATTCTCTTTCCACTGGTTCGGCGTTACGCTATCTCTTTCGCTACACATATACGTATTCACTGCAGTATACATAACTTGTGTTTTAATGAATAACTTATTTTTTGAAAATGTGTCTGGCAGTGATAATTCAGAAGTGGAAGTAAGCAGCCTCCTGCAAAAAAAGTAACATCACACTACGACACACTATCAAGTCTACATCGAGTTAATTAAAATGTGCATTTACCTGTGCATTAGGCCCGCGTATATTTGGTCTGTCTCCAGGGTCAGGAAATGTAAAATCTACTCTCTACGTAACTTGAAATTTACACAATTTTCATAGCATATGATATTTTCAAATTGAGTCTGTATTAATTTCAATACAGAATTTGTTATTCAAGTAATTTCACGATATTGTGATTCTAGTTTCGAAACAATATTAAATAGTTATTGGAATGCCAATACCCATACTGTTCCTTGACGGGCGAAACGCGCGTCAGAAGACAGTACTTTTGCTTTAGTATAAATAAAGTAATTTCATTCAATTTATTTCACGAAAGGGGTGCCTAATTCTTTTTATTCAATATTGCGATTCAAGTTTCTAAACAATATTAAATAGGTATTGGAATGCCAATACCCGTATTGTTCGAAACCATATTGAATAGGTATTGGAATGTCAATACCCATACTGTCCCTTGACGCGCGAAACGCGCGTCAGAAGACAGTATTTTTGTTTAGGCATAGATAAAGTAATTTCATTCAATTTAATCCACGACAGGGGGCCAAATTTTTTTTATCAAATCAATATTGTTATTCAAGTTTCGTAACAATTTTAAATAGGTATTGGAATGCCAATACCCATACTGTCCCTTGACGCGCGAAACGCGCGTCAGAAGACAGTATTTTTGTTTAGGTATAGATAAAGTAATTTCATTCAATTTATTTCACAACAGGGGTGCCAAATTCTTTCTATCAATTCAAACTTGTTATTCAAGTTTTGAAACAATATTGAATGGGTATTGGAATGCCAATACCCAGTATTTTTGTTTCAGTATGGATAAAGTATTTTTGTTTCAATATGGATAAAGTATTCTCGTTTGATTTGTTTCACGACAGAGGTTCCAAATCCTTTTCATCAATTCCATATTGTTATTCAAGTTTCGAATATTAGATGGGTTTTGGAATGCCAAATTTGAAATTGGAGTTCAGAACAGATATTTGACCAATATCGACATATCGATATTAATATTATTCAATATGTCGCCAGATGTCATGATTCTAACTGTTTTCCATTTACGATATATCCATAGTGGCCCAACATGAAATCGAGTTCCAGCTGAAAGTATGTGTTGCATGGAAAATTAAGATTCACATTACATAATTTGAAAACTTCAAGTTCCATTTGACGCAATAAATTTCAATTGGAAATATCAGAAATTTTCATTGCCACACACAGTATATATATTTTCTCAAGTGTTTCTCCGATAATGAATCCGCTTATATTATTCTCAAATGATTTACTGTCACCATATCCATCATATATGTTCATCCTAACTAATTCCCAGTAGATAGTCAATATATATCTACATATAAATATGTAGGTATGCATCAAATGTCTATGTTTTTTGTCAGTCGTTCAACATCATTATGAAAGGTGTATTATTCACGTTTATAATATCTCTCCATCTTATAAAGAGCTTTGTTGTCATTGAAAAACCTCCAGACGAATTGATTTCTGTAGCAGTGGTGAGCTCTTTATTCTCAATTCTGTTAAAACTCTCAACCTTTTTTTCTTTGGGAGTAGAGTAAAAAACGTAGCTATCAACTATAATGAAAAAGTCAAGAAGATATATGTAAATCATGCATATAATTTTCTTACTCAATGGTGTACTTCGAAGTTTCGTAAACAGGACACTTGTCTTATGACTTCGAAAGCACCGTTTCGAATGACATTACAAAAAGAAGCATTCATTCATATGATGGCTCAATTCAATCACAGCTATAGAAAATGAATATAAATTGAAAAGGAGATATTTTTAAGAGTAATTGGTTTTTTGGGAAAAAAACTTTTTCGTTTTATAATTCTACATTTTTGAACAAAAAATCTGAAAAACTTCCAAACAAAAAGAAGAAGAAAATACCACAATGAAGACTCCGTATACAGATATGTATTTATTTCAAAAGGACTTTTTTCCTTCGTATAATCCATTGTTCATGTAGTTTCAAAGGATATATACCCCTGTCAATTTGTTGTTAATAACGTAATGTCATTTCACAAATAATAACTATAAATCTTAAGTGATTTTTTTTCAATGTTCTGACAAAAAATTACCAGAATCAAATATGAAATGAATTACCAGTTCAAACTCGTATGAAATAAATTCAATTCAGTTTCAGAGAATTCAATTAGCAAATTCCCAAATGTTTTGTATGAAGATGGAGAAGTAGATAGCCAAAACCTTTGTTTCCCGAAAATTGATCTGTCCTTAAAATATAACCTTTCAATTTAAACAAGATTTCTATGGCTGAGATTTAATCGAATGAATGTTATTTATGTACTGTCACCGATGACATGTGTGGATTCAACTCATTCAAAAAGTCAAAAAGTCGTAATTTTATGAACGAATTGAGTGTTTTTTCTTATAATGTTATCCGTATTTGGTACTGAAGAGCCGATAAGGAAAGTGCCTTACAGCGATATCCAGGTGTCTACTGTCGATGACAGTGTTCCATGTGAGTGAAATTTCCCTCATTTCATTCATTATATTGTGTAGGAATCCTGTGAATGATATTTTTTTCGATTCCATACGAATGTTTGGAATACAAACGGAATAGAAAAAATGTTTTTCGTATAATCAAGCGTTTATATAAGAGTATTTGTTTCGAAAGTATTTTTCTTTCGTGTATCTGTACCTGTAGAGTAGGTAGGGTGAGTGTAAGCACACAGCACTTAGGCCACATGTGACCCATTGTACATCCTCCCGAGGAGTTGTCCTCCTAGGTCATCGTCCATCCTGTTCTTTCCAGGAAGGTGGACAGGTCACTGGGAGACATCTCCTTCATATCGTCTCTTATTGACGTCAACTCCGGTCCCTCGCATAGGACATGCCTGACAGCTTCATCTTCCTGTTCACACATCCTGCATAGAGGTATCCACTAGCCCCATATTATGAAGGTGTTTCCTTAGTTGACAATGACCAGTCAGAAATCCTACTGTTAGGATGTAGATTTTTCCTGATCATCGCCAGATATTTTTTTGTCGCCAGCTTCCCAGGGTCGCCCAGGGTAATACTGGCAAGATTGTATCCTTTGACTTCATCATCTCTTTGGTGATTAAGCATGGGTGTGATGTTTGGCTAGTTCCACAATTTTCGAAGTCATCAGGCCGTAAGTGTCCCTGGATCCTAAAACTCTAAGTCCAGCCGCTTCTTTGGCTAAAGAGTCGGCAATGCGATTACCTTTACTCCTGTCATGACCTCCAACCCACTTCAGGATAATGTTATCCTGAGGCTTTGGCTAAATCTTGGTGGCACTCTAGTACTAGCCCTGAGGTAACAAGTTGTTAAAGGCTGATAGGGCTTGTCTACTATCAGTGCAGATTTTTATGTTTTTGCCAGACATTCCTTTCCTGGTTATTTCTTTTGTGGCGACTGAGATACCAACCAGTTCTGTTTGAACCACGCTGGTATTTTTCCATTCCCCACTCAATCCTTAGGCTTATTGATCTGGACTTTCTTTCGTGTAATTCAATGTTTAGATGAAAATAGCTGTTTCGAAAGAGCTTTTTCTTCCAGTTTGTGTCTGAAAGTTTCCTCTTTGTATGATCTACACATCTATATATAGAGTTAGTTTTTGAAATTGATTGCTTCCTTCCTTTCTTTGAAAGATTCACACATTTTATTTATGAAGAGGGACAAGTAGAAAGCCGAAATCTTTCTTTCCCAAAAACTAATCTCTTCTAAAAATATACCCTTTCAATTTGAAAAATGAATCAAGAACTATTACCTGCAAGATTTTTCAAATAATTTTAATTTGTTGGCAAGCTGAATACACATTATTGATATCTTCAGGTATTCGAAATAATTGAAGTCATTCAGATTCATTATTTATTACAATTTGTCGATTGACCGGCTCTAAAAAAGATAATTTGCCTATTTTTACCTAAATTTCCTAATCATTAACATTTCATTGTACCTCTTCTCAACTATAACCGCTTCACTGATTCAGCGGGAGCTGACCGTTTGGCGGGAGTTGGCCGTTTTCCGCTTGATTATGGGTCTCCATATGTTGCGTATCTCTACGCTAGCTTGACTGAATGCGTCGTTGGACAACATATACGCAGCTTCTTTGAATTTCCTCCTAAACTAGTGTTTCTTCTTGCAGATGATCTCAGTAAGGACTACTTGATGTAATGTTGATAAGTATAAACATGCTGATGTTGTATTTGGACCCAATTCTTCTTATCGTTTCCGGCAATCCTCTGATGTAGGGAGGTGCAAGTAATGATTGTGGCGGCTTCCCTTCCTTGCGAGGCCCCTGATGTTTTTAGCCAAAGTCTGTTTCACCATCACTTTGGAGTAACCATTCCATTGAAAATATTTTTCGATGAAACCTAGTTCCTTCTCGAGACCTTCTCTGGTAATGCAGAGCCTGAAAGCAAAGTCTACTAGAGTCTTGATGATTTTCCGTTTGGCAGATTGATGGTGGTTGGATTCGTGATTCAGATACTGTTTCGTGTAAATGGGTTTTCGGTATACAGATGTTTCCCATTCAGTATCGGTCAAATTCACCAATAAATCTAAGAATGGCAATTCGTTGTGGACTTTCTTCTCCAGTATGAAGGTAATAGAAGGTCTTACGCTGTTGATGTGCTTCAGTGTCTTGTTCCGTATTATCATGGTTCCATTTTATGAAGGTGTCGTCAACGTATTATTATTATTATTATATGGGTCAAAGTATATCCCAGATCCCGAAAGCACGATCTACTAGAGTCTTGATGATTCCCCTTTTAGCCGATTGATGGTGGTTGGATTCGTGGTTCAGATATTGTCCCATATGAATGGGTTTTCCGTATACAGATGTTTCCCATTTCCCATTTTCTTCACCAATACGTCTAAGAATGGCAATTCATTGTGGACTTCTTCTGAATTGTGAAAGTGGTGGATGGTCTCACGCTGTTGATGTGCTTCAGGAAGGTGTCTAGTTCTGTATTCCACTATGAAACATTGTCAACCAGCTTCAAACAATAAGTTTTTGTGTAAACGCAATACATTTTTATACGCTGTAATGTTATAGAAGTAGTACTTGGCAAAGTATGTAAATATTTACTTTGTTATCAATTTGCTTGTCAAGATTTTATCAAAACTATGAATTAATTACAAATTTTGAATTATAATCAATGATAATGATATTCAGTAAATAGACAAGTATAATTTATTTTTACTAGGATTAATTCTTTATTCTGAGCAGGATCATTGGAAGGTAGAACTGGATAAATCCGAAACAAGTTCTAAGTAATGCCTACTATGTACACCAAGACACTGCAACTCTCTTCTCGATGCACATTTCATCAACCAAGTGGGCGTCTTCAGGGAATGGATTAGAGACTTTCTACTTCATTATCATTATGTGATGTCTAACATATTGGATTCAGAATAGTGGTATTCAATTAATCGTGCATTGTAACAAATGTATATGTGAAGTTTCGGCGCAGTCGGTACCGTTCAAAATCCAGTTTCTAGATTCGTCCTGAACATATATCAATGGATGAAAAATAATTGATTGGAAGCTTGTGAAAAATAGTTATTTCCTTAGGTAGATAGATCTGAAGGTCTTGAGCTTCTTTGATAATATATAGTCATCCAAGCTGGAATGTGCAGCTCTGGAATCGTAACTGACTATTTTCTGGAATATACTCTACAGCAGCCATAACGGCATATTGAAGAGATTCCAACAGAAGGGTTGATATTGAGGTTTTCGGAAGTTTGAAGTGCAAGATTCAAACATTGATGCTGTTAGCAACTTACCCCTATGAGGGCATCTGTATACGATGATACATTATATTCAGCCAAGCAGCACTTTTTTGCCTCCGGTTTGGGTGAATTATCGTTTGAGCGTAAGCGTTTGCTGACATGCTCAGGGGAGGGGGTTATTTCATCTCCTGGTGCAGATTCTGCTTCTGATGCTCAAAAACTTGGTGTATAAAATATCATGCTCTGGTGGAGTCGTTTCCTAGCTGCGCCACCTAGCCTGCTAGGTTTGTTAATAGGATTAGGAGTTGGAATACTGGCAAGCTCTCGCTCTTGATTACCTCAAAAATTTGACAAATTCCCAGTTTCACAATGAGTACTCAGTCTCTTCGCTAGATCTGTTTAACATTTTCCATAATCCGATATTTTTGTATATCTTCGGGTATTATGGTGTATTATATTTTTGTTAAAATCATCTTTGTTCAAAATATTGAACGTGACTAACAACTATCAATGATGAAATCTATGGTAAATCGAAATACTTCCATTCCATATCGGATCACAAAAGCAAAGATTTTCAAGTGGTTCATAATATACTAAATTGTTGTTTTTCAGAACTATGTGTTACCTATCAGAAGTCAGAAATATTTTTTTCAGTTTTTCAGGCATGGTGATAGGTCACCAACAAAGTCATTTCCTAATGATAAATACTTTGATCTCCGATATTGGCCAATGGGTTTTGGACAACTGACAGAGGTGAGAATGTTCATTTTTGGTGTTTTATCCTCTCTTAAAATTCTGGATATTATTATTACACAATTTTCATGATTTAATTGATATATTATAATTGTGGTTGATCTGCAAATATCATACCCATCCGTTATTTTGATATTTCTATTGCAGTATGGAATCGACCGCCAGTACAAATTAGGCCAATGGTTCAGATCACGTTACAACTCGTTTCTGAGCGAAGAGTATTCTCCAAATGACATACATGTATACTCTACAGATGTGGACCGTACTTTAATGTCTGCCGCTGCAAACCTTGCTGGATTTTACCCTCCTAAAAACGATCAAATTTGGAATCAAAATTTGTTATGGCGGCCAATACCAATTCACACATCTCCCAGAATCAAGGATGACATAATAACCAGGAAGAGAAATTGTCCCAAATATGACAAACATTACGAAAAAGTTAAAGAATCCGATTTTTTCAAAGCAATCAACAAAAACTATAGCGATTTTTATAACTTGGTTTCTGAATACACTGGATGGAAAGTTAAAAATATTGGGGAGATCAGAACCCTTCGGTCTGTGTTATACTGCTACAAGAACTACAACGTGTCATTTATACCCGAGTGGGCCCCAACTTTGGACCAGAGTGTGTTGGACTACCTCTCTGGTTTGGCTTATCAAAGGAACTCTTACACCAAAAAACTGAAGAGATTGGGAATAGGACCGTTTTTCGATTACCTTTTCTCTCATTTTGACAACGTAACTACTAACGTCTCCTCCACGAGATTTCTTATGATGTCTGGTCATGACACTTCCTTAACCTCGATTTTGAACGCTATGGGAGTGTTCGATTTACAACCTATTAATTTTGCTGAAGTAGTCATTTGGGAGTTGAAACGAAAGGTTGATACAAAATCATTTTATATAAATCTATATCAAAGAAAGAGTGAAGATGATCTGGTACAACTACGAATCGAGGGATGCGAATTCGACTGTGGTTATGAAGATTTCAAAAGAATCATGAAACCTATTTCTATCAATATACATGACTGGGAAAAAGAGTGCTTTGAATAATACCAAAAATTTTGATAACAAATTGTAAAATTTGCCCAAAAATATATTTTTTGCTCTTCAATTCTTGATCATTTATTTGTTGATCAATTCACTGAACCAGTTCAAAACAATTTATTGGCGATTCACATAAAGCTATTCCTGCCTTCGTCATAATATTCTTCTAAACCTTTTTTTTATTTCAAGTGACTACGTCGTCTTACAGCGGGGGCATTAGAGTAACCCTCTCAGAAACCTCCATAATTACGACCTTAAATGTGCTTACCCATGCCTACCTACCCATGGGAGACAGAGTGTTAAACGGTGAAAGTAACCTCAGAATTGATTATGTCAATGGTACACCCAAGATGATTTCTTTAAACCATCAACTTCACCCACTCATAGGTATTTAGATTGTTATTATTATAATGCGAGGAGTCTCAATATAATTTCTAAAGATTTTCATAACTCAGTATGTTCAAATGACTTTGATATGATTAGTGTAACGAAAACCTGTCTCTCCGATGGAATATAAGATTGCGAACTGTTTACAGAATTATATTCAGTGTTTCATGGTGATAGACAGTTCTCAAGAGTGGACCTACAATCTGGAGGAGGGGTACTACTCAGTTATAAAAACACATTCAAAGCTACAGCTCTGAATTTAAACGACATTCTTGGGGCCTTTACATTAATTGACATCGTAGATGTAGATATATTGATTATATTCAACTATTTATATACCACCATCAGTAGGAAACGGAGACTATGTTGCATTTTTGAAATGCTTGATTCACTGAATTGCTTTAGACTAGATTGTAAAATACTTATTTTGGGAGACATCAACGCAACCTCATTTTACTCTGATTCAACGGATTCTAAATCTGGCGCCATAGTGGACTTTATGAGCTTCATTAACGCTCAAGAGTTTAATAATATTCTTGATGAGCATTATAAGTTACTTGATTCTGTGGTAGCCAACTTTCAATACACGGTAGTTAAAGATTCTAACTTGTTTACTAAAGAAGACTCTGTCTATCACCAGCAGTTATACAACATTTTATTTCAAACAGACTGAAAGAATGTGAAAAAGATTTGTAATGTAGATGAAGCATGCCATTTCTTATACCTCTGTACCAAGCTTTCGATGAAAGTGTTCCATCCTACTACCATTATGAAAAAATAAAGCAGTATCCACCATGGTTCACTTCAGAAATCATTAATGAAACTGATTTTAAATATTCCTATCAATTATTTTCAAACATTCAAGAATCTCAGAGAGAACAACGTAAGATCACAACCGCATGTGCAGAAAGACAGGTTACAGGCAATCCAAATAGATTTTGGAATTTCATCAATAGCAAGAAAAAGAAATCAATAGTTCCCGGTTGTATGCAATATAATGATTCTTCGCAGTCAAATATGCATGGGATTGCGGAGTTTTTCTCTAGTTTATACTTGAACTCTAACGATAATAATTCCGAGACTAGATTTGATTCATTGAATAACCTTAATATATCGATTGGGACCATTTCTGAAGAAGATATAATGAGTATTACTAGGGTTTTATCCCAGTACAATCCGTTATTGCAACACCTTGACACGTGTTTCGATCACCAAGTGATCATCTTCAAGAGGAACAATGTTATCTTTATTTATACCATAGATACCTCTTCTAGGTACCTGCGTATGTGGATGATGTTTCTGGCGATATTCGATAACAAAAAATCGACGATTGAGGACTTTGTTTCCTTTCTAAATAACAGATTTACATCAATGAAATTCACGTATGAGTTAGAAAATAAGGGACAACTTCCATTTCTTGACGTTTTGGTAATGAGGAGCCGATATGGAAGCTAGAATGCGATGTATATAGGAAGGAAACAAGCACGTAAAGATATATTCCTGACAGTTCACATCAGTGAACAGAACTGGGCTGGGCTGAACTCAGCTGGGCTGAATTTTCTAGTGCACCGTCTTTTAACATTTCCTCTCACACATGAGAGGTTCAGAGAAGAAAAACGGGCAATACAGAAAATAGCAGTCAGTATCAGTTTCTCGAGGGGTGTTGTAGATGATATAATAAGAAAGAAAACATTTAGGTTTAGAATGAACGAAATCTCGACTTTCAAAAATGACGAGAACCAGTTCCATATCACCAATACAAGAAGAACTTTGGAATGATTTGCAAGGATCTAGGTATGAATGTGGTTTTTAAAACAAGTCATACACTACAGAACCTTTTAGGAAATCCAAAAAACAAAGTCTAAAATTCGGAAAAGTCTGGAATTTACGAAATCAAATGTAAGGAATGCCTTGCAAAATATTACGGACAGACAAAAAGATCTATGAATGTATGGAAGACCAGAAAAATAAGCAGTCACCCATCATATTTTGCTTGTTAAAATAATTATCAGATTTACTCGACTATTACAGTCGGGGGGTACATCAGTCGAACCCCAGAGGTCTAATCTAGGGCCACTCATAATTTTCTAGGGCCACTCATTTTGATAAGGATCACATGCCCGCATTTACTTTTCGCAGATGATTTCTACAGGAAACTTCATCCAATAATATGGCTCTGGAAAATGGTGACACGTTTGAAGATTTAGGGGTCGTGTTTGATCGAAGGCTTGCTTACATTTGATACTCATATAACTCATATTGTATCGTCAACGTTGAAACTATTGAGATATTTCTCCAGAAGCTGAGGAAATTTTCCAAATGTTAATACGCTCAAATTATTGTATATTACTATCATAAGAAGTAAGTTAGATTATGCATCGTTAATTTGGTCCCCATTATATCAAAATTTCGTTCAGCGATTAGAATCTGTTCAGCGTAAGTTCTTCAAATTCATGTTTTTAAGTGCAATGGGGCACAGCTAGGGGCACAGACCATAATATTTTATTAAATACATTCAACATAGAAGCTCTTGCAGATAGAAAAAAATGAACCACGATTAACTTTTTAGTTGAACTTTTGAATAACAAAATTAATTGTAGTGTCTTGTTAAGACAAATTCAGTATCTTGTACCTAGATTACAATCCAGGCATATGAATACTTAGTACAATAGGAATCCTAGGACAAAATTATTGAAAAAGTCGCCGATATTGAGTTGTTCAATAAAGCGTCTGACTTGTGCGATTTACATCATGACAGCAAACAGTTTATTTTAAGAACTATCAAAAATTCAATGTTATGATTGATTTCCATTATCTTTTTCTCTTTGCAGTTTGTACCCTTTTTTATATATATACTCTCTAATTATTTGTATATTCTCTGTTTGTGGGTGTTTGTGTAGAACGAACACAACCTTTGAGATACGAGGTATCCTTTCGTTGTAGAAAGCGTCGTTACGGTAAAGATGGACTATGAAGTAAAGAGAATCCGACCCAAAATATTCAGAGGAGATGGACGTCGACTAAATAACCTCAACTGATCTCACTGAAACATCAGACCAAAAGAAAGAGCTTTCCAATGTTGCAATTTTGGCTCCTAATCAAAAACCTGGGAGACTAGGTAGTGCAGCCACGAAGTGGAATATAGCCTGCTCTAGAACAAAACATCTTGAGCACCAATGTTTTGAGAAGCAGAATTTGCATCCGTAGGGGAAACAAACTCTTCCTAAACAGATCAGCCGGGGCTTGAACCACCGCCGTATTGGTCGGTGGTTCAAGCCCCAGTCTGAATTATCGATTTTCACTTGCTATCATCCAACCCTCATAAGGAATCACACGTAAAAACAGTTTTGTGAAAGCTAAGTAATAAACTGTGTGGAAGCTAATTTCCGGGTGTTTTGGCTGTTTCGTCTACTTCGTCAGGCATAATAACCTGTAGACCACGGCCAAAAAACCCGGAAAATAGCTTTCACACAGTTATTTCCGGCCGTGAAAATTGACATTCTTTGACTAACTAATAATTTTTTTTAATCCATTATTCAATTTGAACACAAAATGTGTGAATACGACTGACTGAATGGACCCTTCTGTGAGAAACATTTACTTATCAACTCTTTACTTATCCAACTATTCCAAATGTGCCTTCGTGCTTTCATGAGGGAATTGTTTGAGGTGATTTCGGATATTCTAAAGCAGAAGTTCCCAAACTTTTTTTTATCATAGACCATTTTTGAAATTTTGCTGGTTCCGTGAAGATTAGATCTAAATATGGAAATCTACATTGAGGCTGCATTCCAATCACTAATTAACAGTTTTCGAATAAAGAGTGAGAATTGATTGGTTGATTCATCAATTGATTTTGCTGTGAGGGAATGTCAAAAAATTGAAGTTGGTCAATCAAAAAGGTGACTTTACTTTATTGACATCTACTCATGGCACAAGAAACCAAACAATTGTCACTTATTTTATTTAGAAAACACCATTCGGTGTGGTGAAAATAAAAAGAAAAATAGAATATTTTCTTGTGTTATTTATTCAAATACGTAATTATTACACTTTTACTCAGTCGTAATGTAATTGAAATCGAACATTAATAACGAACCTTCTACAATCTACAATGACTATCACAAAATAGTCATAATTTTAATGGAAGAAATGTACTTGTTGAAGCCAAATAGGTCAATATCTATTTGGCTTCACTTTTGTTACGAGCAACCGCAAATATCCCCGTTCTGTGATATTCAATCTACAAGTTTTCACGACTAACAGTCGCTGAGCTTCTTTAAATATTATCTGCCAACATTGATAGGTGAAGTTAAATCTACATTTTGGTTCTTCACTATCGAATCCAGATGAATTTTCGTGGACCCCCGCTTACGAATTGTAAACCCCCATTTTTTGGTAACGCCAACGTAGACCCCCCTATACAGTCTGTCGTGGACCCCTGGGGGTCTATCTGGATCACTTTGGGAATCACTGTTCTGAAGTATGTCCGGTGTAATGTTTCAACATTCAGTAAAATGATTTGACACACTGGATGACTGGAATAATATGGATTTACCAACCGATTCTATTTGTCCGAACCCTGATTGTTAGAATGGGGTGGAATGGGGTGTTTCGATCACTTGGTGATTGAAACACGTGTTGAGATGTTGAAAATAACGGATTGTGGAGTTGGGATAAAACTTCAGTAATATGCATTACTACACTCAAGTGTTCCAAACAGTGCATCACAGAAAAGGTGAGGATCTGTCTGTCTGTTTTCTATTTTTCCGTTAATCAGCTGTCGCCCCCATACGAACGACAACTCTCAGAAGTTGAGAAACTTGTGCGAGCTAAGCATTAACGAGGTCTTACCTTTTAACGTGTGATTACTAACACGGATAATGGACGGAGGAGTAATGAAAATGCAATGTACTACACCTGCAACAACAAGGCCCGCTGTAGAGAAACATTTTCGGGATAGATTTAACATACATATTTAATAAATGTTTCGAGCAAGGTAAATTTCCAGTCTGCCTTGAACTAGGAATCATCAAACCTATACACAAAAACGGAAGCAATGAAAAAATAGAAAATTATCGACCAATCTCCTTGTTGTCGGTTTTTTCCAAAATTCTTGAAAAACTTGTTAAGAAAAGAATTTACAAATATTTGGTGTTTGAAACACGTGTTGAGGTGTTGAAAATAACGGATTGGAGTCGGGATAAAACTTCAGTAATATGCATTACTACACGCAAGTGTTCCAAACAGTGCATCACAGAAAAGGTGAGGATCTGTCTGTCTGTTTTCTGTTTTTCCGTTATCAGCTGTCGCCCCCATACGAACGACAACTCTCAGAAGTTGAGAAACTTGTGCGAGCTAAGCATTAACGAGGTCTTACCTTTTAACGTTTGATTACTAACACGGATGATGACAATATTTGAATAAATAACAATGTCGGGTACGTAATGCGTAATAACAATATAATGAAGGAAAATATAAAATTAACACATACGGAGATTTATTTTGTTACTCTATAAAAAGTAACACGTTAATTGATATACCTACATAAAACAACATACATAAGGTCTATCAACAAGCAAATCTTCAGTTGCATTTCTGAACTCTTTTCTTTTTTTATTATTCACTTCAAATGATTTGGTATGTGATTATATATTTCAAAATCGCTATACACTTTTCAATTAAGGTAGACGAAGGGATAGAAAGGGATAAATTCAAAGTCTGGCGTGCGAGGCATGCTTTGATGAAAATTAGGGAAGTGTTCCTCTGTGTTTATATACTGAACAAACTGTCTCTAATAAAAAAGAGCATAAAATGGCAATATTTTGTGCGCAAAAAACAAATGCTTGTAAGAATCATGTTGCCCGATCTTACAAAGAAATCTTAGTGATATCTTCTAAAGTATGTAAACATACTGTAGATGTGTCGAAGCTCATACACCCCAGAATAGGATATCATAAATCAGGCGAGACTCTACGAGTGAATGTTACACAGTTATAGCAGTTATAGCAGTTATAGCAGTTATAGCAGTTATAGCATAACATCCACAAGAGACTTTTCTTGAGCTCTAGCATATGATCCTCAAAATCACACTCACATTAGGCACTAAGAGAATGTCATCAACGTTACAATTGAAAGATAAAATCCTGATTTTCGATGTATCAACAGATAGCTTTGTGAAGTTCAGCTATATTACTTTTCTACCAAAATATTGTGATGTCCGCGAACGAAGTAAATTTACATTACTATTGTGAGAAACCTGTGAAGATGTTGAAAATTCAACGCTTTGACTTTTGTCTGATAGATACGACTCAAACCATTCAAGAGTAATCTCCTCAATACTAGTGGTGAAGTTTCCTGAGCAAAAAATCATGGTTCACGCAAAAGACTACAACCAGTGGCATCCCGTCTAGTAATATGACCATACACCTCATATAAAAATGAAACTATGGCATCATGGGTATTTTTGTTTGTTTGAAATTCAAATTGTTTGGAGCTAATAACAAAGAATACAAAATAATATCAATAATAATCAAAAAGACACCTATTTCAACCTATGTAGCTAATTGTTTTCATTACCTGAAGGAGAATTAATGATAACCGGAACTGTTTAGTACTAAAAAGTACCATTAGAAAATGGGATAATTTCTTGAACTCGGGAGGTAACTTTAGCACCTGAGAGTGATAAGGGTCAACTAATACCTTCAATTTTGAGAATAACCTCTTTTAACACTTCCTCTTGACTTTGTGTTCAAAAGTCCATTCTTGTGAAATTTGTAAAAATGATGCCAAGGCTCATCAAGATTTAAATGACTCTAGTTTATTTTGTTACTTCAAAGCACATCAAAATGAAAATTTAGACACTTTTGGAAATTTACACATGTCTCATAATAGTTTTGTAATGTACATTTCCAACTTGGAAGTTGTTTTTCAACAACATTTCAACAACACTTTTTATCAACTTACTATTCTGTGCTAGTAGTACCAAAATAGTGGTTACGAACAAATCTAAAATTTAAAAAACTGCCCTCAACAGTCAACTGTCAACTGAGTCAACATAACCTATAATTTCTCAAATTTTGATTGATCCAATACACACAATATGATTATAACTTGTTTTTCAAAAGTTTTTTATGTCCAGATCAAAACACGTTCAAGTATAATCTAACGGTAACAGCTTCGAAAAAGCCACCTTAACGGTTTCATAAAATGTAAATTAGCATAATGCCAACAAATCAAATCATCTTCCCCAAATGTAATGTTTTCAATGTAGTGTGATTAGAAAATTTTTAGTGTTCAAAGCAGCTGCTTCCTATAAAAGTATGTTAATGAAATGTGTTCGATTGAAAAGAATCCACGCCAGGTTGATATTAGCTTTATTAGTAACACTATTATTGATAATTATTGTATCAAAACTGAAGACAAATGAAAATTTAGAAAGTGGCCACCTTGTATTGGATAACAATTCTACCCAAATTTTTGAGAAAAAACTAACGGATTATGAACGTCGGATTATACCAAATTTAGGGGACAATGGAGATCCTAGTTTTCTTGAAGGAAATGATGCAAAGGAGGGGGAAAAGGCGCTCAAAACTTTTGCTCTGAATACTGTACTGAGTGATAGGATGCCTTTGAATAGAAAATTACGGGACCCAAGAAACAAGAAGTAAGTAAAATTCAAGGCAAATCTGTGAAATGGTAAACATAGATAGTATTGAAATAGTACATGGATCAAGTATCCCATGGCTATATAAAATGAACATAATATTTATATATTAATTTGGCAATACATTGTTTGGTATTCAATTTTTTTACGAAATCACCCATGAATTGTATCGATTTTTCAGTGACTTCTCTAGGTCAAACCAAATGAAATAAAATTTTGGATAGATTCAGATTTGCTGCTATCTTTTGGCAGCATTTTATAAATACTGATATGTAGAAAAAGTTGATGTTTTCTTTGGCATTAAAGATTTAGTAAGATATGTGGAAACATAGTTATGTTGATAAATTAGTACTTTCATCATTATTCCATTTATTTTTCAGTGTAAACACTGAACATGAGGTGTGAGAGAGTTGTTTCCTGGAAAACTGCTCTTTTTTTTCTGGGTCAGAAAACTGGTTTCATGTCTTTGAAATGTTTCAACCCAAATCAATTCAGTCCCATGTTCCCTCTCTCCACAAAGTTTAATTCATCTGGTCTGTCATACCAGGTTGGCATAAAATTTATGATTTTAGGGAAAACGTGAGGGTATACTCCTTTTCTGGAGTCAGTTTTACCAGCAAAAACCTCTTACCAAACTTGGCTGAATATTGGTATGTGTTCTTCCCTTAGCAGACAATTTATCTGAAAAGTATAAACTGATTTGTTTGCCCTAAATATCCATCTGCAATTCATTTGAGATATAAGTCATTACCAAAAAGAACAGGAGAGGTTTTTGGTGTTTTATCCTCTCTTAAAATTCTGGATATTATTATTACACAATTTTCATGATTTAATTGATATATTATAATTGTGGTTGATCTGCAAATATCATACCCATCCGTTATTTTGATATTTCTATTGCAGTATGGAATCGACCGCCAGTACAAATTAGGCCAATGGTTCAGATCACGTTACAACTCGTTTCTGAGCGAAGAGTATTCTCCAAATGACATACATGTATACTCTACAGATGTGGACCGTACTTTAATGTCTGCCGCTGCAAACCTTGCTGGATTTTACCCTCCTAAAAACGATCAAATTTGGAATCAAAATTTGTTATGGCGGCCAATACCAATTCACACATCTCCCAGAATCAAGGATGACATAATAACCAGGAAGAGAAATTGTCCCAAATATGACAAACATTACGAAAAAGTTAAAGAATCCGATTTTTTCAAAGCAATCAACAAAAACTATAGCGATTTTTATAACTTGGTTTCTGAATACACTGGATGGAAAGTTAAAAATATTGGGGAGATCAGAACCCTTCGGTCTGTGTTATACTGCTACAAGAACTACAACGTGTCATTTATACCCGAGTGGGCCCCAACTTTGGACCAGAGTGTGTTGGACTACCTCTCTGGTTTGGCTTATCAAAGGAACTCTTACACCAAAAAACTGAAGAGATTGGGAATAGGACCGTTTTTCGATTACCTTTTCTCTCATTTTGACAACGTAACTACTAACGTCTCCTCCACGAGATTTCTTATGATGTCTGGTCATGACACTTCCTTAACCTCGATTTTGAACGCTATGGGAGTGTTCGATTTACAACCTATTAATTTTGCTGAAGTAGTCATTTGGGAGTTGAAACGAAAGGTTGATACAAAATCATTTTATATAAATCTATATCAAAGAAAGAGTGAAGATGATCTGGTACAACTACGAATCGAGGGATGCGAATTCGACTGTGGTTATGAAGATTTCAAAAGAATCATGAAACCTATTTCTATCAATATACATGACTGGGAAAAAGAGTGCTTTGAATAATACCAAAAATTTTGATAACAAATTGTAAAATTTGCCCAAAAATATATTTTTTGCTCTTCAATTCTTGATCATTTATTTGTTGATCAATTCACTGAACCAGTTCAAAACAATTTATTGGCGATTCACATAAAGCTATTCCTGCCTTCGTCATAATATTCTTCTAAACCTTTTTTTTATTTCAAGTGACTACGTCGTCTTACAGCGGGGGCATTAGAGTAACCCTCTCAGAAACCTCCATAATTACGACCTTAAATGTGCTTACCCATGCCTACCTACCCATGGGAGACAGAGTGTTAAACGGTGAAAGTAACCTCAGAATTGATTATGTCAATGGTACACCCAAGATGATTTCTTTAAACCATCAACTTCACCCACTCATAGGTATTTAGATTGTTATTATTATAATGCGAGGAGTCTCAATATAATTTCTAAAGATTTTCATAACTCAGTATGTTCAAATGACTTTGATATGATTAGTGTAACGAAAACCTGTCTCTCCGATGGAATATAAGATTGCGAACTGTTTACAGAATTATATTCAGTGTTTCATGGTGATAGACAGTTCTCAAGAGTGGACCTACAATCTGGAGGAGGGGTACTACTCAGTTATAAAAACACATTCAAAGCTACAGCTCTGAATTTAAACGACATTCTTGGGGCCTTTACATTAATTGACATCGTAGATGTAGATATATTGATTATATTCAACTATTTATATACCACCATCAGTAGGAAACGGAGACTATGTTGCATTTTTGAAATGCTTGATTCACTGAATTGCTTTAGACTAGATTGTAAAATACTTATTTTGGGAGACATCAACGCAACCTCATTTTACTCTGATTCAACGGATTCTAAATCTGGCGCCATAGTGGACTTTATGAGCTTCATTAACGCTCAAGAGTTTAATAATATTCTTGATGAGCATTATAAGTTACTTGATTCTGTGGTAGCCAACTTTCAATACACGGTAGTTAAAGATTCTAACTTGTTTACTAAAGAAGACTCTGTCTATCACCAGCAGTTATACAACATTTTATTTCAAACAGACTGAAAGAATGTGAAAAAGATTTGTAATGTAGATGAAGCATGCCATTTCTTATACCTCTGTACCAAGCTTTCGATGAAAGTGTTCCATCCTACTACCATTATGAAAAAATAAAGCAGTATCCACCATGGTTCACTTCAGAAATCATTAATGAAACTGATTTTAAATATTCCTATCAATTATTTTCAAACATTCAAGAATCTCAGAGAGAACAACGTAAGATCACAACCGCATGTGCAGAAAGACAGGTTACAGGCAATCCAAATAGATTTTGGAATTTCATCAATAGCAAGAAAAAGAAATCAATAGTTCCCGGTTGTATGCAATATAATGATTCTTCGCAGTCAAATATGCATGGGATTGCGGAGTTTTTCTCTAGTTTATACTTGAACTCTAACGATAATAATTTCGAGACTAGATTTGATTCATTGAGTAAACTTAATATATAGATTGGGACCATTTCTGAAGAAGATATAATAAGTATTACTGGGGTTTTATCCCAGCACAAACCGTTATTGCAACATCTCGACACGTGTTTCGATCACCAAGTGATCATCTTCAAGAGGAACAATGTTATCCTTATTTATACCTTGATGCTTATTCGTATCAACCTAGTGGCTATTAGCGAGTAGTGCATGTTCATAATTTTGTTATAACATCGATACATGTGTGTACGTATGTGGTCGAGAAAGGATGAGTGTTCGCTGCCTATAATATATTGTGCTAATAAGTGTGGTCCAAAGTATATGTACATTACCGGATATCAAGAGAAGACAATTTGGAAAAAGAAAACCTGTGAAATAAAGAAAACACTGTGAAAAAAAAAATAAACTGAAAAAGGTAATTACTGTCTTCGTTTAGTGCCTCTTATCAGATGTGAATATATCACACACTTGCCAGATCTACTTAAATTATGGAAGCTTTAATGGAAGAAATTTTAAACAGCAAAAGAGAATTACAACAAAGTATACAAGCAAGTGAAGTCAATATCAAACTAAAAATAGAAACAATGGAACGAGAAAATGAGGAACTCAAACAGCAAGTAGAAAATTTGGAAAAACGAGAGAGAAGAAATAACGTAATAGTATTTGGATTGACAGCAGAAGAAAAACAGATATCAGTAGAAGAATTTTGCAAAAATTTGAACACCCTATTAGGCACAGATATTAATAAACATAATATCAATAATAAATACAAGCTTGGAAAATCAGAAAAAAGTCCAATCAAAATAGAATTTATCTCAACACTCTCAAAAATAAGTGTACTGCAAAACTGTAAGAAACTACAAAAATCAACATAGTGCAGGATTTAACAAAAACACAACAGAAAAAGAACAGAATCCCAAGAAGCTATCTGAAGGAAATTCGAACCTCAACCCAAGATCACTGCTACATAAAAGGCGAAAAATTATATAGGAACAACATAGCTTACACAGTGGACGAAATTCTGGAATTTGAAGAAGAAAGAAACGAGACATATAATAGACAAAAAGCAGCAAGTGAACCGCAGACACCATCTAAAAGAAACTTAGAGTTTTTCGAAACAATAATCCCACAGGAACCTACAGAAATTATCATAAACAAGAACGAACAAAAGAAAGATCCGCTTGAGGAGAGAAAGAAGAAAGACGAAGAAACGAAAAACAAAACGAAGGATAGAGTTATATCTTCAAACCAACCACAAACCAGAGACAAAAAGCCATCCCTCAGATCTCAAAATAAAAAACTAGATGATTTGATAGTGACCGTAAACATGGATCCGTATATAAAAAATCACCGAAAACATACTCATACCAGGACAATTAATTGATGACTTGAAGAAGTTTAATGAAAAACGTTTGAATAATAGTGATTCTCAACTCAAGATACTACATGTCAATATCCGTAGTGTAAGCAAAAATTTTGATGAATTACTCATTTTTCTGAATCAGTTCAATCAACAATTTGAAATTATCATTTCAACAGAAACATTCAGTGTCACTAATAATACTTATAAAATACAGGGCTATGACAATCTCTATAGCCAAGGATCATTGAACAGAAATGACGGAATAATGATTTTCATCAATTCCAAAATTGAATATGAATATAGGACTTTTCAAGTCGCACTGAACAGTGCTATAGAATTACATGTTACTATAAATCAAGTCAAACTACTCTTAACAGCAATTTATAGATCACCTAGTACTGATAAGAATATTTTCAAAACAGAACTCTATAACTATTTGGATTAAAAAAAAAATAACCAACTTCATATAATTATTGGAGATATAAATATCGATTTACTCAAAAACAATATCAGTGAAACAGAGGATTACAAAAACCTACTAAATTCATTTAGTTTTATCTCATATATAAATAGGATAACAAGACCAAGCAGCAAAACACGCTTGGATCATATTTTTGTGAAAAATCTCTATAAGCAAAATAACTCGGGCTAACTCGGGCTAATAAGCCCGAAACCGGTCTGCAAGTGTGCCCGTTCCATAATTGAAGGTCGACTCTTTCAGTTGTATTGCCAATTGCATATGCAGGACATTTTCTGTGAAGATTCCTGCACTGACGCTTGTCTGATATAATCCAACGCCCTTCGTGGCATTAGCCAGGGGAGTAGTTGTTTTCTGATAGGCGTCAGTCCATTAAACCTACTGTGTAGGTATATAGAGACTGGCTTGAACGTTTGAAGTTCCATTTGCTTTAGATTTAAATAACTCTCAATCCTATGTATTCGACTGTGACATAACTGACCATTTTCCTGTAGCAACTGTAGCAAAATAATAACGAATGACCATCAACATAAAACGTACTATAATTACAATACTTTGAAAACTGGCATTAGTAATAAAGACTGGACATGTATTTACAACTTACAAGACATGAATGAAATGATGGATAAACTCATATACATTATAAAACGATATATACAAAAACATACAAAAACAATAAAAATTAGAACAAAAAAAGTAAGGAAAGCTTGGATGATACCGGAAATACTAAATAAAGCCAATGAAAAAAATAATACTTATATTCAACTTCGCTCAGATCCTGATAAAGAAAGGTACCAAATACTCAAAAACAGTCTCAGACAAACTACAAAAATAGCAAAGAAAGAATATATGAATAAAATCATAGAAAAGAGTCAGAATTCTTCCAGCGGCATATGGAATGCTATCAATGATATCTGTCCTGAACAGGAAAAAAAAACAAAAATTGAATCCATAGAGATCAATAAAAGTATCATAAAATCTGAAATTGAAATCGTGAATCAATTCAACATTCATTATAGTAAACTAGGAGAAAACTATGCGAACAAAATAATCAAACTCATAAATTTTTCAATTGACATTGACAACATTGAGAATAGTATATACTTGGAACCAAAATCAAAATCAAAATCAAAATGTTCTTTATTAACTATTCTCCATACAATTTTAAGGTATTTTTTTTGTGGTGTTTATAAAATATATACAATAAAAAATATATATACAAATATACAAAATGTACACAAGGGTTTCCCCAATGGAGTGGGACAGTGGGAAGGATTGGGATGGGTAGTGAATGGGGTAGAGGGAGTGGCAGGAAAAGACCCCGATACATTTGCGCTCTCAAGAATTCCGCACGGAAGAGAAAAGCGCCTCCACACAGTCCCCCGATGGGACAGTGGGAGACGCCCCCGCTGGTGTTGGCGGTTGGCTCTCCACTCAAAAACGCCTTATATCAGCCTCATCTATAGTTTNATTTTGTAATTTTTCAAATTACAAGTACTTAACTATTACATTCAAATATACATGAACAAATTATTGGACCCAGGTACGACAAACCAGCTTGAGCCTCAGTATTATAAAATTTAGAGTGATTATTAGAAAGATAATAAATTGCATTGTCTATAAAATCATCTGATTTGCTCATGTTGAATATATATGTATTCTTTTACATGAACTTCTCCTACGCCATGAGTTGAATGTATTTTATACCATTTTAATTTCAGTAAGTGACATACTACAGGAAGAGAAATATAGTACAGAAATATACTACAGGAAGAGAAATATGGAAGCTCAGTCAAGACGAATGAAATTAGAGAGAGAGACGAATTCCTAAACTTATTCGTTTGAATATTGAGAAGTCGCAAAAGTCATCTATTCTTAACTAATCTTTGACAAAATTTAATAACTCGAAATTTATGAAAATAAAGCAACAGTTCTATAAGAACTGCAGGAGAGCCCTTTTCTTTGTAAAATGATAATATTATGGGTTCTACCTGTGAAGTATCAGAAAATACACTTTCCGGAGAAATTAATTCAGTGATTAATGATATGGATGATGAACATCAGTGGCATTTTTTTCAGTTTCAAGTTTAGTTGTAAAGTAGTATTTAGTTTGGGTTATGATTTTTTTTACATCCTAACTATGTTTCCATAGCTCTTCTGGTCATCTTTCAATTGTACACTTTATTATCTGCAGTCCATATTATATATTTGGTCAGTATTCAATTCAATTTGATCTAGGTGTTTTGAAACCTTTTTTTGCGATTAATATGAAATAACTTGTAAAACTTTGATATTTTCTGTAGCATTTTACTTAGTTTCCTCTGTACATTTAAAACTAATTCATTTTACTTGGTTGGGTGGTATTCAAATGGATTTGCAATATTTATTCAAATAGATATTAAATAATTTTTTTTTTTCAGGTGTAAAAGATTCAAATACAATCCTAAACTGAAAACATCAGTTATTGTGATATTTTATAATGAGCTGATGAGTGTTATTTTGAGAACAATATGGAGTGTTATTCTACAAACACCCAGTCACTTATTGAAAGAAATTATTTTGGTGGACGATGCTAGTACTGAAGGTAATTATATGTTCATCATCAATACAATTTTATTTGATCACTATTGTAATAGTTTAATAAAAAAATTTTAAAAATGTCACACAAACATTTTTGAGAAATCCGTGCTACAGTTGTGTGACAACCGGATTTTCGGAATGACGCAGATTAAATATCTCTGCCGTTTCTCTATTTGTTCTATTTTCTCCATGAATTAGAATTATTTCAGTTTTGTCATTTGCACTCAGCATTATGAATGAATTTATACGGACAAATCTCTAATTAGGTAATGAATTTCATGATGCTAACACTCACACTTGAAAAACGCAAAATTGTTTACTTCTTAAAATGTCAAAAAGTCAAAGGTAATGTGACTTTGAAAATTCATAAACGAATTTTCAAAGTGAAATATGAAATTATTCCTAATTCATATACGATAAACGTTAATATGTACTGTTCTAATAAGTACAAACTTTTGTTTGGAAAAAAGTATATTTTTAAGAAAAAAGTGTATGCTGAAAGACAATTTCAAAATATCAATGGATTAGAAAATGTTATAAGGCAAGGTTGTACTGAAATCTATTTTAGAAAATGTCAGAATTTTGTGCACGAACAATAAAATGTTTAGCGATGGAAGGAAGACATGTGGAAATTTAGGATTTAGTGATTGATTATGCAGGTTTCTGAAAGTTTTCGTAATTTGGTTCTCATTTGTGTTCAATATATATGTAAACTAGTACTATGTTGCTGTATCGCTGATGTTCCAATGTTCTGACAGAATCAGAATCAACGAACTTAGGCGTGTGCAGCGTTATAGAACAGTACTTTCAAAAAATTGTTCTACAGCGCCATCTAGTGACGAGTTACAGAAAAACTGATAGTCTAAAAACCTTTCAGTCCACCATATTGTATGTAGAATGGCAACACTTAGTTTATCATGCAGCAGTTGCAAGATTTGGCCCGAACTGATGTACATAGAGATATACAATCCAAATTAAATAAAAGCTTGTAAAAAATCAATACTTTTGAGTTTGTGACTATGTTAGGCTCACACCTTGCGATGCGTCTGAGCCATGTGGCTCAAAAGGCAACTCTCATTTTATACAAGCAGAAATATGCATATTATGCAAAATTTAATTATTTGTTTAAATTTATTTTCCAAATTTTTTCATGCGGAAAAATGTCGAAAAAACATCTTTCCAAATCGGGATCTGTTTTCTTTGAAAAGATAGAGCACCATCCCATCTGCAGAGACAGACAGACAGACGGCAAACTTTTTTCATTTTGAATTTTCGATTCTGAACTTCTCCAAAGTAACTATTGGTCTATCTCTTCAAATAAAAAAGATAGGTTCCTCTTTAGGGCCCATAGTATACTATTGTATAAAAGTGTGAACAAAAGTATTCGTATCTGATTTATTACAATTTAATAACTTCTAGAAATTTTCTTTCAATATGATGGAATAGGCCATAGGAGAGCTTTTTTCCGGGTTTTTTTGGCCATGGTCCAACGTTTAATCTACAACTGCGTTAGACATTATCAAAGGCGATTTGGTAACGGTTGCAGTACCCAAGCTTCAATAGGTCAAAAAAAATGTTAAAAACCATATACATGGTATTTCATTCGTCATTTCGAACTCATTAATTTTTGCTATAATCTGAAAAAAACTTATTGAAATCATCATTCACCCTTTTGTTCAAATATTCATATTTTGTCTAAAGAATTTGTATTGAAAGTTTTGTCTGGAAAATTGTGTACTATTCTGTAAAATTTACTCAACATGTGGCCTTTAATTGAATTGTCAGAATGTTGATTATATTTATTTCTGATTTTTGTTTCAAGGAGACAGCAGCTTTCAAGTGGGTGGATTTTCGTGGTCTGGCCATTTCACTTGGATAGACATTCAAAACGAAGAAGATAAACATAAATTGACTCCAGTGAAGTCACCTACCATGGCAGGTGGATTATTTGCAATAGACCGTAACTTCTTCTGGGATATTGGTTCCTATGATGAACAAATGGATGGATGGGGTGGAGAGAATTTGGAAATGTCTTTCAGAATATGGCAGTGTGGTGGACGACTAGAAACGGTGTGTGTATAATTTATTTCAATTCAATTCAAAATATGCTTTATTACCCAAGATATATACATCTTATTGGCAAAGTCTAGTAAAGTAAAACATGTATAAGGGACAATTAACAAATATAAACTATAAAATAATGCTTAAACACAGGAGCAGAGTATATGGACAGAACAATATTGAGTCCAGCTGAACAGCTACAAATATAAGTACATGAATTTATGNGTTAGATTGGATTAGGTCCAAAGTGAGTGGGTCTATTCGACCCTTTAGTGTCCGACCGAAACTGGTTTTTGCGACCGAAACTGGTTTTTGCGACCGAAACCGAAAACGAATTTCGGCAACGGTCTCAGTTTCGGCCGAAACCGAAACTTCCTTACAAGTATTATGTTTTGAGGGAAAAATAAAAAAAAACGTTATTATAATCAGTCAGTTTTTATTTTCTTATCTTTAAATCACAACGTTATGTACTCTTCGACATTTTTACTTATTTATAATCAACATATAAACCCTTATTCAAGAAAAAATATTAATTGCACCTTAAAAATACTTAAAATAGGTGAGGTGTTCATTTGAGTATGTGTAGATTCTTCTTTTGAATATTATTGATGGGTTTTCAATAAATATTAAATATGAAATTACTTATTTGAGTTGATACCTAATATCACAATAGTTACGACATGATTAGGCATGTGGAAGCGGCAAAATATCTTCGTCGATTGTATGAAATTCAAAGCGCCGAACATGACCGATCACAGCGCGGGAACTCCCGAATGCAGTTTCGGTCGTAGTTTCGGCAGGGTTGGCGCCGAAACCGAAACTAAACCGAAACCCGTTTTTTTGCCGAAACTCGACCGAAACCGAACTTTCGGTCGGACACAAATTTTTTTTTTTTCGATTCTGATCAAGTATATGTTCACTGAAAATATATAAATCATCAAATCTTTGACTCAGGACCAGGCGAAAATGACCTTCGTCGACTTCCTCGAATTCTGAGCATTGGCAAAAGGGCACTTATTACAGTATTCTCGTTTCTTGATCTCGATTTCTTTTTCATTTCTTGTTGTTCTGTCTGATGGAATTGGCTGATACTTGATGAAAACCCATAACGTACTTTATTGTGAGATTTTCACTGGACAGTACACCGCAACACAAGTTTTGTTATACAATAGCTTTCTCAAGCATTTTCATACTGACTAAAGTCTACCTAATGTGAGCTTTATTTTGTAACAATTTGGATCATATCACCTTCCATGTACCTAATGACTTCAACGGTGATATTTGATAACATTTCTTACTTCAACTACATTGTTTTACTATTTCACTTGTTCACTTTCACTTGCTTTTGGAAATAGTCTTGTAAATCTCCGAACTGACTTAATCTAATCTTCTAACTATTCTGTGGGGATCTCGGCAATTCGCTCGTATTTATAGTCAGGACGAATATTCCTGTATGTACACTACCGTAAGCTTCGGCAGCTTCTGGATAATTCGCTTGCGTTCAATATGTGTAAACAGGGTGATGATCTTTATTTAAGATAAGTACATTAGACAGCTGCACTCCATTGTTCCATAGGCGATTTTTTGATGACCTTCTATGCTCTGACTATGACCTCAACAGTATTCTCCTTTCATTACTTTTGATTGATTTATATTTTCAAGAAACAACATCAAAAGCAGTTGAATACGAAAATGTTTAATAGTGAACGTATATTTTTTTCATTATTGGATTATGTTCTTCCAAGAAACTAAAATATGCGCAATATTCATTTTCAGGTTCCTTGTTCACGAGTGGGACATATTTTTCGTGATTTTCACCCTTACTCCTTCCCGGATAACAAGGACACTCATGGCATTAATACCGCTCGATTGGCTCATGTCTGGATGGATGATTATAAGAGATTATTCTTCATGCATCAGCCGGGACTTGAAAATAACCCAATAGTTGGTGATTTAACACATAGGAAACAACTTAGGCAGAAACTACGATGTAAATCTTTCAAATGGTGAGTGATACTTACATAATGTAAGTACATTCAACTTGCAGATAATAAATAGAGCTATCTATTTCAGATGTTTTGACATTACCAACAACTGACAGAAATATTGTAAAATTCCTAATCTGATTCTTTATACTTCAAAATATTTCAGTCATTGCAAACTGTCCACCAATATCAGAATCAAAACATGCTTTATGGTCATAGAACAATTTTCATGTCTATATACCTAAAACTGAAATATTGTAGAACATATACCTGATGACATGTAGAATAAAATAATGATAGAAAACATTTTGAAAAACAAGCTCTAAAATTCAAAAAAATGTTTCTAACAAGGTTAGCATCTTCAGGAGAAGCAAATTGATACTGAATCTAAAGACAAGGGTTAGCTGTTTATATATCTAAAATTTTTTGCTCCGATGTGGACTTCGTTAAATGATGATTATCCTAATTGATTTTTCCTTAATTAACTAGTGGAACCTCTACCTGCAAATTGATTCGTCAACAATAGATTAAAAAGCGGACAAATTAATTTGCAGGTTCCATTAATTAATTACCGAAAAATCAATAAGGATAATCATCATTTAACAAACCAAGTCCACATCGGACCAAAAAACTTTAGGTATATCTGTTTAAAAAAATCTGTATCAATTTTCACTTCCTCGTTAATCCTTAGCCTGCACAAGTTCAGACTTCTAGGTCTTATCGTTTGTAGGAGGCGACAGCTGGTATTAGTTATTTGTAAGTTTCAATTCTATGTAAACTGAATTGTAATTTTCTCGTTTGTAAGTAAATTATTAAATAAATAAATAGATATTTCGAACTGGGACACCAAACAAAAAAAGGATGAGTAATCATGTGTTCAACCACCATTGAGTACAGTTAATCTACCATGTCTAGTTTCAACCCCCACGTCTCTTATGTAGGTCTGGCCATTCACTGCTTTTTTATTGCGTTCAAATATTTGTTCCAAGTCGGTCTAGAATCTAGTATCTCTCCCAGATATTCAACCTACTACATGGACTGAAAAGTCTCAGGTCTAACACATAGATGGCGCTAGTCTTATTGTATTTACCGCTTTTCAGTTAGTTCTAACCTTCAAAAGACAGCTGTTGAAATTTCATGATATTCTACCCATAAATTTGTGAGTTATTGTGCTAAGAGTGATACTACTTTTGTTATTTTCAAAACAATGGATCAAAAACAATGGAGAATGTTCCTCCTGACAAAAATCAAGTAGTTTTCGTAAAAGAGCTCTAAAACAACGCATTTTAAACTCATCATTTTAACCTTTTTCTTTAAAAAATTATTTAAATACTTGAAAAAGAGGAATGAAATAATGCAGTCAACATTTAAAGGGATTCGTTTCTATTTCACCATTTGGCAACATCGGTTATAGCTAATAAAGGACAATGAATCTGTGACCTGTGTGAGACAAACAAAGAGGACATATTTCAGAGGCGTGCTGTTCTGTTTACTTATGTTCCGAGTTCCGAGACATTCTGTGACATATGACATTTTGGGCATCTCACCTATATAAATAAATAACAAAACAACTGTTGTTTATGTGGCTTGTGGAGGTTGTATTGAACTATAATTTATATTTTGCCTTAATTGTTGATTTATAAAGATAATTTTCCTTCTTTAAAGTAGAATATCTAGGTAGGTATAAATTATTTCTAGGCGCTGTTGTCAATATGTGAATTAGAAACAAATCCCTTTAAAAATTAAAACCCAACATTTGAAACATCAATGTGAATACTTTTCGAAGTGAATTTGAAAAACACATGAATTGAACTCAACTTTATTTTGTTCAGACTTGCATTTGCTGTAGTAACCCAAATTGAGGAACATTCCCCATTTCGTTCAAGCGAAGCAATGGCTTTAAAAGTGTTATAATGACTCCGCTCCATCAAAAACAACAATTTAACGTTGGTTTTCTGACTTCAAACGTGGCCGTAGACACGATGATGCAGAACGTAGTGGACGTCCAAATGAGGCAGTAACACCAGAAAACATAAAAAAAATCCACAAATTGAATGATCAAAAAGTGAAATTGCGCGACTTAGCTGACAAGAAAGTCTTGATGATTCTGAGAAGTGTTTGAACATAACAAACCAGAATTTTTGCGTCGATATGTGACAATGGATGAAACATGGATCCATCACTTCACTCCGGAATCAAAATGATCGTCATCTGATTGGAGAGCAACTGGTCAACTTCATCTCAAGCACCCGAAAGCACAACAATCGGCTGGAAAGGTTATGCTCTCGGTATTTTGGATTGTGCGTGGTGTAATATTCATCTACTATCTTGAGAAGGGAAATACCATTAACAGTGAATATTAAATAGTGTTATTGGAGCGTTTAAAGGCTTAAATTGCGGAAAAATGACCTCTTTTGATGAAAAAGAAAGTGCTGCTTCATCAAGACAAGTACAGTGTCACAAATTAATGAAAACGATTGCAAAATTGCATAAAATGGGCTTCGAATTGCTTCCGCATATACCATATTCGTTAGATATGGCTCCCAGCGATTACCGGCTGTTTGCAAACCTCAAAAAAATGCTCATCGGTAAGAAATTTTGCTCGAATGAAGAGGTTATTGCTGAAACTGATGCTTATTTTGAGGCAAAAAATAAATCGTTCTACAAAAGTGGTATTGAAATGTTTGAGCGGCGCTGGAATGATTGTGTGGCTCTTGATGGAGATTACGTTGATGAATAAAGTCAATTTTGAACAAAGAAAACTATTTTTCTTTCTTAGGGGCTGGGACTTTTCAACCCAGGTGTTATATAGACAGTTTTATATTTTCATCGAAAAGATGTGGAGGTCAAAGTCTTTCTATCTTGGTCCTGATGCTGATTTTGATGGGCCCATGTTAAGTATTTCTTCCTTGGTTCATCATATCAAAAAACTCGGGATCTGTTGTATGTATCCCTTCAGGATATTTACCTTAGACTTGGCTGAGTAAGTTGTCTGCATAGCCCAGTACTTTATTCATTATGGTTCAGAATACTTAGTAACTTGACTAATCTAAAATAGTGAGAACAGGACCCTCCTTTGAAGCAGTATTTAACTAGTGTCACTATTGTTAACAGCTAGAATCATTGATATCTCTTCTTTTCGTTGCCTGGATGATTGATCTCAAAGACCTCAGTATGCAAAAATATTGCAGCTAAAAGTACTTTCTGTTTTTCATTAGCATATTCCCTTTTTTCCATGACTCGCCGTAAAGTAATTCCAATTGACATATTCGTGATTTTGAACTATAACAAGTTATCTCAAGACCTCCTCTCTATTTGGAAAAACTTAATATAGCACCTTCTTGACGACTAGTGATGCCACATTTTCGTTTTCCTTAACAGAAAGTTCTAAAAAGTATGTATTATTACCTAAACTTTGTATGACCTTGACATCTTGACCTGTTCAGAAATTAGCAGGGGGAAATTTTTACCTCCGGAGTGTATACTAATATAATATGCTGCTTTTTTTTTGGACCTTGGGAGCTGCCTGACTTGTCCATTTAGTCCAAGTCTCCAGGAAACACTGCAGCCTCTGGGCTTATTGCGTTTGTTCTCCCATCTTCTCATGACACCCATTCCATCAGTCTCGTTCCCTGTGCTAGTTTGTACAGGTTCCGTGTTGGATGTTCGTCATATTCTTCTGGACGTAATTTCATACGTCCATATATTGCCTGCCTCCTGTGATTCAGTGCCTAACATTCGCATAAGATGTGTAGAACTGTTTCTATCCCTTCGTTGCATAATCTGCAGCTGAGGTCTCCATTGTACAGCACCATTTTATTAAGGTGTTCTCTGAGCGGACAATGACCGGTTAGTAACCCTGTAATTATTCTGAGCCGATACCTACTATATTGAAGTAGTTCATCGTTTCTTTTCTCGGACGGTTCCCCAATGAAGGTTCTACTGTGTTTGTTGCCAGGTACTTTTGTCCAGTACTCTGTGTGCTTCTTATTGGTCCATATCCTAATCTGGTTTCGTACCAGTTAATATGCTGCTTTCATGACTTCAAAACTAATAATACCAACTAATATAAAGAAACTTCCTGAGGATTTTCCTTCCATGATTTGTAGAATATTGGATTTGAAGTTGTCTTCAAATATTCTCAAATTTTAAAATTGAATAGGTGCTTGAATCCTTGAGGAATGACTGTTTGTAATATCAGGCATTCTGAATAGAACGTGGCTTATATGGCTACTTGTTGTTTTCTTGATATCAGATGTCAGATTATTATCATAATATAGTTGATACAGTCAAATGCTTTTGCACAACTCCAGAAACAAATTTGTTATTAAAGTTATTGATGAGTATTTTGGGATCATCTTTCTCAGGAGTTTTGATTTGGATTTATTTATTAATTGCTTATAATTGTTAATTATTTTTAATTATTCATAATTTTCCAAGTTGCTTTTTGTTAAACTAATTGCAGAAATTAATATATGCATCTTAATGTCCAGGGTAGATTTGTTCATCAGATCATCTAAAGAAACAATTCATTCAGCCCAGTCTCAAGTCTCTACACTGTCGGTTAATGGACTATGGACTGACACCTATCAGAAAACAACTACTCCCCGGGCTAATACCATGAAGGGCGTTGTATTATATCCGACAGGTGTCACTGCAGGATTCTTCACTGAAGTTATTCCTGCATATGCTGTTGGCAATACAACTGCCGCAATAGATTTTCAATTATTGGAACACGCAGACCGGTTTTGGGCTCTTTAGCCACTCGACAACAAAAGACTATCTGTGAAGGAAGTAACCAACCTGCCCATATATGAAGTCACAGTAGTTGAAATGGCTTAGCACCAAACTATCACAGAGCATTATTTTTGGAGGTTGGCTCAAAATAACCTTAACCTTAACCTAACCTAACCTTTGGTGAGTGAACAATGTTGATGCCCTTCAAACCTTGAATATTTTGACGGTCCATGTTATGTTCTTCATTATTTAATAATGCACCTCCTTAATATCTTTCGGAAATCCAGAATGAAAAAATATCTTTCCCAAAAATTGATCGTTATTCATGTCACTTGTGAATCAGGAAGAACCTTCTAATTATTTTTACCCAACTTCGGACAGATAGATAAATCAATTATTCAATCTGAATTCCATTTGAATCATCATTTGTAGAAATTTTCTGATATTTTAATGGTAGTGGATCTTAATGTATTAGAATCATAAAAAATAATATTTAGTATGCATATTTTATTTCTGTTTGAGTCCCCAACTACTACTTACTTTAATAATATTTTGGGATTAATTTTGATTTTATACTATTAATTTCTTTCAAATGCCTAATTTATGCATATTAAACTGAATATCCATATATTTTATGAATTTTATTTTCAATTGTTCATTTCAGTTATTACTCTCAAAATTGGAAATGACATTTTCTATGTATTTGTTTTTGTTTTCAGGTATTTAGATAATGTCTACCCAGAAAAGTTTGTACCAGATGAAAATGTTGTAGCACATGGTCAGGTACGCACAGAATTCGAAATGTGTTTGGACGATCTTCAATTGGCAGATGATAAAGTGGGTCCTCTTGGCCTTTACCAGTGTCACCCTCACATGGCAATGTCCCAATATTTTTCAATAAGTGAAAAAGGTGAACTGCGCAAGGAAAATTTCTGCTCAGAGGTATTCAATGAGCATGATGTTCAACTAACAGAGTGTCATGGGCATAAAAGGGAACAGTATTGGGTGTATCATAAAAATGGTACTATTTTCAATCCAAGTGTGAACAGATGTTTGAGTAGCGAAGGTGTAGAAAATGGAGGAGGGGTGAAGGCTGATATTTGTAAAGACACACTTTACCAGAGATGGAAATTCGATAAAGTCAATGAGACTGCTATGGCTGTGTAATATTATTTTATAAAGCAAATCATTCGAGCAAACCATTTTGGATGGCAGCTACTAGAGGTATTTTCAATCTTAGGGTCCAACAAATGAATGAATATTCGACAAAACTCCCGTTTTACTTCATACAGTATGAATGAGGTGTAATTTGAAAAATCATCTAGAACAGCAAGATGGGCTAATATTAGAACATTCGAATAAATAAATAAAAAGAAATAATTTCAAGTAAAATCACGAATAATCAGAAATGAAATGAACTGAAAGATATGCTCCTAACTAAAGAGCAGAGTAGTTTGGAAATGGAAATGGAACGACAATCCAATTATGACCGTTGCTCCTAGGTACAGCAAATTAGATTTCTTTCAGTAATTAAGAATATTTATAAATTCTGAATAGTCAAATTCGTTAATTTTGAATCACTGTCTTCTTAAACAATGACCCATTTCATACTAATTAATAAGGATTGATTACTATTATTTAGTAATCTTTGTAAACTACCGTGGATATTTAAATACATGTTCCATTTTTTTTGCAGAGGCCTTTCATGAAGATGCTGCGCATCATCTAACAATTGTAAATCACTGAAATCAATCAAATGATTACCTACAAACCAGCTTCTACCACGACAACATTATTTTGAATCTTCATCATGACTGTCAAACTTTCCTCCCTATACAACATTTGTTTGAACATGTTTTTTTAACTATGTCAAAGAAGTGTCGACTTCTCATAAACAATGTTCGAGCCGAGAAGAACAATTTCATGATCTACTTTGTTGCTCAATCAAAAATACTCTGAATTTCTTCACTCGGTCAGCAAGTTGCACTGCAGGATATCCTTTGTGAGCAAATTAGTTCATCGTAATTCAATAGTATTAGCCAAGAAAGTGGTTATTTTCTGAATGGCATATATGTCTTTCCTTGCACAGAATCTAGCTGTTTTATATCTACATTTGAGTGAGATAGTACATAGAATACTTCTTTCCCAACAACAAACCCTCACCAATGGTTGTTTTGTAGAAGGAAATTCAACAATAGGACTCAGGATACCATTCAATCCAATTGTCGTCTCATTTTGTTTTATAATTTCAGTCTTAAAAGAATACCCTGATATCCAGAAAGGTTGTTGTTTTCTAATAGGTTTTATTTGTCAAATTCTACTATGCAGAATAGCTGGAAAAGATTATTGTTGCTGGAAATGAAAGTTTTTTTGAAATTTTTATGCTTCATGGATACAGTCTTCTAACTAACCTACTTGTATTTCTATATTGAATCTGCGAATATGTCACAAATATCAAGAGACTGTATATGTATAAATTGCAGTTTGGGTTTGATCTATAGGTATGAAAGTTGATGTGACTTCTTTGATTAGATCAATAGATAAATAAATCATCATTATCAAGACAAAATACATCGCCTCCTTCTAACATGCATCAGAAAATGTGATGGTATCATTACCCAAAATAAATCAATATTTATTACTGTTAATATATACAAGAACTTTCTGAATAATGTGCAATTGTACATATCATTATCAAATATTGGAGTTGAGACTGAAAGTAGAAGTAGTATATTCATCATTGACGTAATGACATGTAATTTATTTAAAAATTTTATCCTTTCAAGATATATAAAATTTTCATTCAATTTCTGCTCAAAAATTCAACAAACATCGTAATCTTTTGTTGAAATCATGACAATAACTTAGTAATACTTATTCAACCCATATAATCCCTGGATTTCAATAAACTAACGAGTACAGAATATTTTTTCTCTCTCGTTGAAGTAAAATATTTTTTGGTTTCTCAAAAACTGTCAACCACTTTTTTGTTTCCAATTATGTGGTGAATTGGTCAATACTTAATTAAAATCCATGATAATGTATTTAAGTAATACTTTATTGTGGGAATTTTCACTATACAGTTCACAAAATTGTAGAATCTCTTTCAGTGTACAATAACTTCTTCAGGCAGTGTTCACACGCCCGGTTTTGAATTTTCAATAAAAATTGATCAAAATCGTAAAATGTGTGGGAATAAACTTGCACAATCAACAAGAAATATACTTCAACATCCGTTAATCGAAAAACCGAATGTTTTTGTAGCTGATTCTGAAATTCATCAGTGGGATGAACTGTAAAACTATATAAATATGTCTTATTTCTGGACTGAAATTGTTCTCTAATGCAAAGAGAGGTTTATCTGTTTTTTTTTGTGGATTTAATCACTAATTAATGTCCCCGAATGGTTTATTCATCTGAAATTGAAAAATAAATGGGTACGTAAAGTAGATTTTGATAACTCTTTCGCAATCAATATGCCGACTACTAGTTCACTGAAAAAATTGTGTAATTCCCCCCAATGGTACGGCGGGAATTACACAACGGCTTCAGAATGTTGTGGCTGTAGTAAACTGTGGGTCTAGTAAACCCCATGAAAGACTACAGTCTAGATTCTAGATTATCATTATTGTCAAGATAATAATACATTGTATTCAATTGCAAGAGTGTTTATCCTGTTGAGTATATGAGACATTACAATAAAGAGTAAAAAATACATCAATAATCAACTGCCAAATAACCGCAAAAATGTACTTGAAAAAAAATGGTGGTGGACTTTATTCGTAAATATCTTAGGTTTTCCTATGCTGCACCAGCTTGTATGAAAAGAAGTATTATTTTGCAGCTGGAATTCATGTTTGAACTCAAAGCGAACCTCAGTTCCAATTACAAACCAAAAAGATAAAATGTTCAATTGTGTGGTTGCTCAATTTCTGTACCCTAGTTTAATTTCAGAATCGTGGGAAGACCATGCAAAAGAAACAAAAGTACAACAGTATTCATGTATGCTAAACGTGAAAACCTATTATACCCACGATGTTCATACAAGTGGCATCTTTCATGATTTTATTATTCATATATTCCCCATAATGAATTGAATCAACATTTTGATCTCCAAGATATTTCGGACTGAGTATAAATGATGATTTCATAAAAATAATATGCATTTTTTCGCAACTCCCTAAATGGGTTAAATGAGGTTCAAATGAATGTGTTCCATTGTTTGAGCTGTGGTTATTGCCATCTTATGAATATAGCTTTATCAAAAAAATTCAGAATCCGATAGTTTACACAAAATAGTGTGGATTGCTCTTTATTTATGAATAGGTTGATTGGTGATTACTAAAATAACAGGGTTTCCTCATATCATATGTATGATTTTTTATTGTTCTAATTGTATCAAAAATAATTATGAAATCTTCAATATTTGATTTTGTATGAAGAAGTGTACAACAAATGGAATTATATCAATATATAAACTCTCACAACAGAAATGTAGTAGAAGGAATTATATACGTTAAAAATAATATGGATTTGTGAACTGTACTGTTATTTTGAAGCAATATACATTTTATGTAATGTTAATCATATGTTAATTGTTTCAAGTTCATCACACTATGTTCTTGTCAGTCAACAGTTGATAATCAGCAATTTTCTTTAAATTTTACATATAGTATTTTTAAACAATTCAGTCACCTTTTCACTTCACAATTTTCATAAGAAATAGAACTAATTTGATATAGTAGTTTTAAGTGACCTCCTTGTTTGTACATTCATAGAGAAAAAATTGTTACTCATTAAAGTAATTTTTCTCCGTGTTACTTATCAATGGCATTCTAATGAGGAATGTTCAAACATTACCATTACAATTGACAACTTTCAAATGAAATGTTTCAAGAGTCCCCATGAGTACAACTGTAAAATCACAAAGTTGAGATTATGACACAGAGGTGATTTTCTATAACATTTTTGTTTTCTGCACATTTAGATTCGATGGATAGAATGATTTTGCTAACATACTTCGTATTTTACAGATTGATGCTCAATTAATAATTAGTATGACAAAAAAGACAGTATAACTTTGTGTGCTTACGAGTATTTATATTATTCTGTTAAATGACATTGTTGATATACATATTTTTATTATCAGGATTTTTTTTTTCATTTTTCCTCCCCTCTATTTATAGTCATCGCCTGATATAACATTTCCCAAATTCCCATGAAATCTAAAAATACAGCAGTTTGACCTGAAGTTTTATTTTATAGAAATACTCATATTCAACTAACTGTTGGTGAAGTAAGATGAAAATGTTCGTGTAATAGATAGTATTTTCAAAGAAATATTTTGGCATCTTCCAGAGCAAGAACTACAGAAATTGACTGAAATAACAAACCATTTCCTTGAATACGTTTTTTACTGGTATTTGTGAGCTTAGTGGTAATAATATTCATAGATAGAACAAAATTATAGAAAACAACTAAAAAAATAATACTATTCCTGAATAATCACAAATTAATATTGAAAAAAAGTGTTTTTATTTCGACACAAGAAAACACAATGATGAAACACAAATTAATTTCAGTAACGTCCTCAGTAGAATTCTAAAACTTCCTAAAAGCTTTCGATTAGAGGGATATCTGGATTCGCAGTTGGGACAATTCTAAGACGGTTCAAAATGGTTACTTACACAACTGCTTTTTTTGGGAACGGAAGGAATCACAGGGTCATATAAAATCGTATCTTTCTGTTGTTTTATAGATGATAGCCCGTGAATTTGTTCAGCAACCTGTATTATTCTGTTCAACATTCATATAACAGAAATGGAACTATCTGATATGTCGTCCAACATAACGGTACTGGCGGCTCTACATTATTGTTCAGGTGTTGCAAGATTTCCTGATTGTGCACAGCTGGTTGACAGAAAACATATTTTTAAGTCATGAACTTGCACATTCGCACTTTTTACTCACATGTCACACACATCATCTTCATTCATTTTTTATTTCTTAACTCAATGGGACTGGAGGAATGATATACAGTGTCACCATTGAAGTGCGCACCATATGGGAAACTTTTTTTTCGAAAAGTTTCAATGCACTCGTTTGTCCTTTAAATTTAACTTAAAATGATGCGGCCAATTGTGACCCACTGACGTTCAGTGTTTGTCAAATTCAACTTTTTTTTTTTTTAATTGAAAAAGTGCATTTCCAGATCGAATTTAACAAAAAGTTACTTGAAAAAGTTGTGTCTACGGCAATTTTATATCCATATGCCAAATTTTATGCAACTAGGATAAAGTTAATGTTTTGCTTATTTTTGACAGATATCCCCTTTATTTTAAAAAACAAGTTCGGTTAATTGTCATCAACTCATGTATACATAACAAACTCATCATGGAGTTTAACTTTTCTGATAAATTTTCACTTATACGGACATTTTTAGACATAAATTAAAATTGTGCTATAAAATTTTAACATGACTGGGGCAAAGTTTCAATCACATGGCTATTTTCTTAAACAAACGTCAGTACCTTCAATTTTGAAAAAGCAGACACAACTCAAAAACTGCAATAAGTATTAATAAAATTACTAGAGTTGAAATTACATTAAAATTTCAATATTCAGTATTTACAGATTATTTATAAACACTAACTAGGGCGGTAAGGATGCTTAATCACGTTGAATAAAATGTTCAAGTAAGTCTTGACAAACAAAATGCATGCTATGGTAGTGTCAAGTTGTTGATTTACTTGTCAAATTTTTAACAGTTATTGTTGCAATAATGTTATCTCTTCAGGAAAGAATAGAAATAGTTTTAATATGTGGTGAGAATACACCTCATTTTGGCCCTACAAGCCAAAATTTATTAACACATTGAAAGAACGAGATTTTGATGTCCGTTTGGGGTTTTCATTCTGTTTCAAGGAGAGAGAGAAGAAAATGTAAAGTTTCCGTATAAAATGTTATGGACAGATGAGGCAACGTTCTCTTCAAATGGAACGGAAAGTTCTCAAAATTGTCGATGGTGGGCCCAAGAAAATCCCAATTCCACAGTTGAATGTGGTGATCAGTATAACTTTAAAACTAATGTATGGTGTGGGATACTTAACGACCAAATAATTGGGCCATTTTTCTTTAGGGAAAATTTATCATCCGTCGGTTATAGAACGTCAGTGGGTCGCAGTTGGCCGCATCATTTTAAGTTAAATTTAAAGCACAAACAAGTGCCGAAGTTAAACTTCATTGAAACTTTTCGAAAAGAAAGTTTCCCATATGGTGGGCACTAATGGTGACACTGTATAAAAAAGACATTGAATGGGGTTCATTCAATAGTACCTAAACTATACACTGCAATAGGGTATTCACTTGGGTAATAGCATCACAGCATGTCCCAAGTGAATATCCTCTATATGTTGAGAATCTTAAATTGGCACCTTTTTCAGATAGATCTAATAGTTTTTCCTGGCACATAGTGGAACGTAAATGAGTTTCAATCATTTTCACCATTTGCAAAAGTTACAGGTAAGGTTAGCTTGATTCTAAGTGCTGAC